CCTTTGGAGGAGCCATGGACTACTAATACTAGTGGGGACTCAACAGGTGAGCGCTGTGTAATGTTTATTGGTGGTCTGCGCATGCATAGAAGCGGGAAAAAAATCTTTCGACCACAAACAAGAGGCGGTCAAAAAAAGGCACAAATACTGGGAAAATGGGAAAATTCTAGGTGGGAAAAAAAAGGGTGAACAGGCTTAAGAAGTTAAAGGGACGGCAGAGTGTGGATAACCGTACAGCGCACGCGAGGAGAANGCCTGGCAGAGAGGACCAGACCCTTGGCAGCATCGGCCTCATCCACATTTACCGCGGACGTGCGACGAGAGCGGCGCGAGGAAGGCGCACGCGGGGGTAGGTGTGAGTTGTCCTCCCTCTGGCGACTTGCTCCTCGTTCATTTGCATCCCGGGACGTGACCCCGCCGCGGCCGCCACGACCACCCCTGCCAGCCACCCCTGACGCCCTCCCGCCTCCTTTTGGAGGAGCCATGGACTACTAATACTAGTGGGGACTCAACAGGTGAGCGCTGTGTAATGTTTATTGGTGGTCTGCGCATGCATAGAAGCGGGAAAAAAATCTTTCGACCACAAACAAGAGGCGGTCAAAAAAAGGCACAAATACTGGGAAAATGGGAAAATTCTAGGTGGGAAAAAAAAGGGTGAACAGGCTTAAGAAGTTAAAGGGACGGCAGAGTGTGGATAACCGTACAGCGCACGCGAGGAGAATGGTGGTGCCATGTACATGCATACATTTCCTTACATTCTCAAGTATTGTACAGCAGTAACGGGCATCAGTACAGCAGTGCAAGCAATGTGACTATTTGAGCCTGCAGCAGTACTGGCATGATGCACAACATACGTAGGCCTGTATCAAGCACTTCTGTTGTACAAAAATGTTGGTGGGATGTCTTTTCATTCATACAATTGTACCAAAAAGTACTTGGCTGTTGTGCTGTAGTCTACTGTGCTGTAGCAACGTAACAACGTCATGCGTCTATATACTGATACTTTGTACGCAACAGCCATGTTTCTTGGTCCTCACCTGCTCCTTTGCGCGGTTCTCAGAGCTAACTCCTTTCACCAGGTCGAAGTAAAGCATGAGAATCATCCGCGACTGCTGCAGGGTGGTGAGCTCGCCAGTCATGGGCTTCAGCGATTGCACAGAGTCCTGGAGAAACTTCAGCGCGAGAGGGGGAAGCTTGGCAGTCGCCGCGCCTTGCTGACACGATTCTGCTCTCGCCGTTCACGCTGCTGTTGAAGCACGTCTGACCTCGCGGTGCTCCGCGCGAGCTTCTCCCGATCCCTGGCCACTGACGCCTTCATGGCCTTCACCTCTTCTTCCTTGGCCGCGAGAGCTGCATCGGCAGCGGTGGTGGCCGCCTCTCTTCTCCATATCATCCAGTAGCTTGTTCATAGCCTTTGCATTTCTCGCGGCCGCAGCGTTGGCCCCCTTGATCGCTCTAGGCGGACGGCCACTGGTACCGCCTGTCGGTACCCGCCTACCACACTTGGTCATGGTGGGTGCCGGATTGGCCAGGTGCCTGGCGTGGACTGCGAGTTGCTCTACAACTGCCGGCTCAAATTCGATTTTTTTTAGCGTTGTACGCACCATGTTACCATGTTGAGCTTGCGACAGGTTCTATTTTAGATTTTAGAGCCAATTTTTTTCCGAACCGCAACAAGTGTGCCCGCTTGATAATTGCTGCAATGAAGTGCCTGCTTTTAGCGCCGTTCACTTCGTGCTGTGAGTGCTCGATGGGCCTGAAACCAGCGTCATTCGACATCAGATGTAAAAGGCTTTCTGTTTGACCCGCCCAGTTTTGTTGTTGTTGTTGTTGTTTCTCACATTAGCTCTATAGTCCACAAAAAATGGGGAGCCCGTGGTCTCAAAACCCGGCACATACGACGCCGCGAGAAAACAAAAAACAAAAATAGGATACAAACCACTCGGAAAAAGAAAACAAAATGATCGAAAGAAAGAAAAGAACAGGTATCGCACCTACTGTTCGAGAAAAGAGCCCTCGGACACCGATCAAAATAAAACAAAACAAAAATAACATGTGTGTGTTGCTCAATAATTGCGTGCAAAAGTTGCAAAAGAGTGTGTGTTTTTCTTTCAACCCTTGTGGGAGAGCATTTTGACATTTTTTTTTTGAGAGAACGGGAAGTGCCCAATGATGTACAACGAACGACGGTTGCGGCGTTCGGACGTGCCCGCGTTACGCTGAAAGAACAAGTGTACATGTGGTGTACTTCAAGTTAGTGAAGAAGAGGCGAACATGGACAGGATGGGCGTGGCGAGGCATGTGCTATACCACAACAGTTCTTCGTCGTACTTTTTACCCCTACCGAAGACACCACGACTTGTGTTCTTTCTGTCATCCACTCAGTGGCTTGGTCGATTCCAGACCGGATCATCCCTGTCCACATCTCTCTGGGCTACAGACAGACCTCGCAGGCCAGACGACAACGACTGACCACACAACACGGAGTGGTACACGCTTTCTTTGTGCATGTGCGTGAGTCCATTTCTTTCAGGCGGGGTGCTTTCTCCCGAAATGATTCATTGGAGCAAATGGTCAGACCCGTTGAATATTTGGATCTTTCGGCGCAGCTTTCCACTTGAATGTCTCATTCCTTGCAACCATGTGAAAGATACACTTAGAAAATAAGATTCATTTTCCCTACCATGCATGCGACCTGATTCTTCATAACTCGCACGACACCACAGCACATTCTCGCCACCTCTCTTTCTCTGTCGACCCTGCTGCTCGAATCACCATGCTTCCTCCACGACCACCAACATTCCACGCTGCCAGCCCTGCCAAGAGGAGACCTGTTCCCGTAGGCTTCAGGCGGTCGTCGAGCTCGGTCAACAGCAGCAGTCGTGGGCAAGAAGAGCAGAAGCGGGAGCTGTCGCCCAGGAGAAGTAAGAGGCTTGTTCGGCCGCAGAGCGCAAGGTTCCACAGCAGCCACGACGTGCTCGATACCTCTCACTTAGACGGGCTGTACTTCGAGCACCAGCGGGCGCAGGCGCTGCTGCGTCTTCGGCAAGAGGGGCGGCGGCAGGAGAGGAAGCTACCGGTCTACCCCTCCAAGTCAGCAGCAGTAAAGGTCGGAATCGTGGATGACTGTGACGATGATGAGGATTCGCCAACAGCCAAATGTCCTGCTTCTGCTGATGATAAATTCACCACATCAGAACTTGATGACACACGAAGATACGGGGAGTATTCTGCAGAGGAGATCGCGCTGCGCCGCTTCATGACGATGGTGGCGTGGGGATCCGGCTTGAATGTGGTCAAGTACAACCGCGGCAGGGGGCGGGTTCGTCGCGTGCTTAAGTTCAACGACGAGGTGGGTTGTGGTCCTGTGGTCCCTCCGGTGTTCTGTAGGTCCTGCGGTTTGGTGTTTTTTGGTGACGTGTCACGATATCGAGTGCACTTCGCAATATAATTCTCAACGTCAAGTGGCGAGTGCATCTTGCGCACATGCACACGCGTGCTTGTGTGGCATAGAGCATCGCGGAGCGGTGCGCCCCGGTGTTGCTACCCTCTTTGCGTCTGTGAGTGAAACGTCGCGTCAAGGCCAGCCGTTTGTTTTTTTCCTCGCGTCACTTCGTTTGGTTGATCGGAACAAACAGTAAATAAGTCAGTCAGAATTCCCGTAATCACCATGCAAAGGGAGGGAGACCACCCATTCCCTGTTCTTTCATTCTGCTCGACGATGAGCGTTACATGTACTACGCTCCGCCGCGGGTAAACGGTGGAATTGTGGTGGCCGAGTTCGGTAGTTGCCCGTTGTCTTTCTCCATCTCTCCGTCGAACACGGGAAGGCGGGTGAGCGGGCATGGGATGGATGGCGCGTGTAAAGAGCAACAGCAGTCCGAGTTCAACAACAACGTAATCCGAGTCTAACCTGGAAGTCGTGCGTGATCTCATAATCTATGGTTGTTCGAATAAGATATTCTCATTGTGCACGGCGCAGCTGCCCCGTGCAGGCAGGCAGGCGTGCGTTGACGCCTGCTGTAGGGTGCTATGGTCGAACTTGTGACGCATGCTGCACGTTGACGGTTTGTGACTATTTTTGCAAGTAAGGGTTGGCCCGTGATTCCCACGAGAAAAGTCTACCCGCTATTTTTGGAGCAGGATACGGGATAGATATGGATCGGATGTCGCCAGCAAAATCACTTGCAAATTTGACTTGTCTTGCTACAACCAGCTTCCGTGTGATCATCAAGGCTTGCGTTCGATGCTTAGGCCGTTTTACCCCGTTCGTCCGGGAGCCGTTGACCCGTTGACACAAACGCCAAGCAAGGCTGGTGCGGCGATATATGTAGACTCTACACTATCGCCGCAGCAACTTCTTCAAAAAAACTGCCCATTGCTTGTTGCCCTCCCCCATCTCATTTTCTCCGTGTGTTCTTCTGTGTTTTCGAAGAGAAGCTTTTCTAATCACTTGCCCAAGACAAACAATGATGGTGACGACTACACTGAAGCAGTAGGCACTGCAAGCATCCCGTTCCCGACAGTCATCAACCACACGACAGCGTGTAACAGCCAACCGAATTGATGATGCAGTATTTCCAGAACGATAAAACGCTGCTGCTCTGCTCCACCTATGCACAACTGAAACTCTGACTTCACGCCTACCTCGGACATCCACCTAAACCCCAAGACGGGTCAACTTTTTTTTGTCAGCTACACCGCCCTTTACGATGTATGTGCTGTGTGAATGCTTTATCCATCCAGAGTTGAGGAAAAAGGGAAAAGAAATACACGCATAGAAAGACTACCCATTCGAGATATACCCACAGTCGAACGAAATGTGGTGGAGTCTTGTCAGTGAGTGGAGGAAAACCGGCTGGGTACTGGACTTATTTGGAGTCTTTTGAAGTCCACGCTGATGATTCTAGTATCAGAGGAATCCATATGAACGAAAAAATGTCTTGCCGTATGTCACCTGTCGTTTGAAGTTAACAGCAAGTGACCTCGAGAATGCACCTTCCACTGCTACTGAAAGTGAGAATGTCAATGGATGGTGACATGACAGCGTACACCGGGCACAGATACCTGTGGATGATGATGAACGGCCGACGGTGCCGGCTGGAGAAACGAAATCGCCAAGCAAGCTGCCTTCTGGCCTACAGCAGTTAATTACTGGATAAATAACTGGTTGGTCTCATGTGGATAACGTATGCGTGGACTACACGCATAGACTTGTACGCATTGCCGTATGTATGTATTGGAGTGGTTGGTGGTGTACAAGAACGACGTCCAGACAAGATGGGAAGATGGCGAAGAACACGACAAACAAACGTAGATGACGTTGAGGTATCACACCCAATCCATTCATACAGCCAAACAGCTTGTTGGTGCATTCTTACAGAAGCCCGATTTTCAGCGCCTCGTGACTAGTCTACTCCGCAATCAAGAGCAATCAACATCAAACAATTTTTGTTGGTAATGCTCTCGACGAGACGGCGGTCCCAACGCCGCCGTTTTCGGCACCGCCACTCTTTCGGCTGTGGAGTAACTATTCGGGACGTTGGATGATATCGTACGCCACCACCTACGGCTTGCCATAGACGTTTATGGCCACGAAAAAGAAGAGAGCCCGTTGGTTGAAAGAGCGCGCTGCATCGTCCGAACTCCCTTCGTCGTGACAAGTTGGGACGGATCTAGTCTATGCACGAACAACATATTTTCACATTTTCACACGGAAAGCCCCGCCTACCACTCCGCAGCCTGTACACGGTATTATTGTAAGAGGCGGAGAGATCACAAACACACACCCAGACCGATTTTCAAAGCGCGATTGCCCCACAGCCAAGCTTGGGCCAACACCGAAAATGGTGGTTTTGGAAACTTCTCGTCGAGGGCTTTCCGTAGATGTATCGGGCTCTTTCGGCACCCAGTTGGTTGTGTAGCGAATCCACCGTTGAAAGTTGGTCGACACCGGGTGCCATCTCTCCGGGTCCTATCGATGCATACGGTGTTCATTGCAGCTTTCGACCGTCGTGCGGCAGCCCGCAGTGGTTTTTGCCGGCACCAATCCGCGGGTGGGCGTAATCCCCCCCCCTCCCCCCCCGCCCCTCCCACTGCAACAGGTAGTCTTAACTACAGCGTCCAGGAATAATCCCGCCTCCCTCGGTGACTCCGACCCCTCTCGTTGTGATTCCCATCCCCCCACTGCTGTACTGGGGAACAGGAAGTGGTTCGGGACGTGATATCGGTACAAGTGATGTCGTTAGGATAGATAGACTAGGAAGACATTTTTGAGCCACCTTTGGCAAAGTAGGAAGGAACGATTTGCCATCGGCGATCGGTCCTTTGGGAAAAATGCTCCGTCCTCTCGAGGAAGCGTGGTCAATGGTCTAACCGATAAGGCATGCAAAACATGAGAAAGAGAACGCCCCCCCCACCCCCCACCCCACTGCGGCTTTTGTCTCATGGCCACCAATCTCGCTCACCCTAGCGTTCCTGCCCCCCGCCACTTCGTGTCGTGTTGTATCTACACAAACATGCAGGAGGGCTTCCTTTGCTGGTGCGGCACGCTTCCCCCCTACGCCTTCCACAAGACCAAGGTGCCCGCGCAGAAGCTGCTCAAGGCTTCTCGGCTGGGCAACCTCGTGACCGTCGGAATCGCGGATGAGGGGGACGTTGCCTTTAGGTGCGGCCGCCTCACGGAAGCGATCGTGTTGGAGGTCGGCTTGAATGGTGTCATACGGGCGTGCAACAATACGAGCAAGAAGTGATGATGTCGTCGTTGTTGGTGTTGGTGTTGGAGGCCTCTGCGTACTGTGTAGCATCCAACATGCTCCCTTTGCGTAGGGTGGCCCATTGGCCGGCGAGAGAAAAATATTTTGTTGGCGACGAAGGGAAACGCATTGTCGCGACAGCTATATTAAGGAGTTGGGCCGTACATCATGGGAAGGTCGTTCCTGATGTCCGTCCTATGTGGTTCATCTGCGTGTCCTATTTCAGCTGTTGGAGGCATCAGATAGAGAGATGCTTTGTGCTGACGGCAGAAGGCGCTGTTTTCGTCTGGGTTGTAAAATTGTGGTAGGAGAGGGGTTGGCGACGTAGAGACTATTCTCAATTCAGGGGGACAAGAGGCGTGTTTGTCAAGAATCTTCTCTGTCTGACAATAATCAACCCGATCCTTACACCGGCGGACGAAGTGGTGAAGTATGCAGGTATTCGTACAGAGGTTTGCTGAAAACGCACGACGAGGGGACGGAAGGAGGGGGGGAGGGGGCCATTCCAACCGCGCTGCCGTACTCCGCGGACGGGCAAGTCTACAAACCATTCGGTCGACGAAACCACCGCGCGTCTTGCTCTTCGTCTTTTTATGCACGGCCTTCTTGTGCATGGGTGGGTGCTTTGGCACGATTTTTCTGGCCATCGGCATCGTCCGCTCGTGATGATGTCCTTGTCGAAACGGGATGGGGGTGGATTTGGTCGCTCTCTTTGGTTGTCTAGTTGGCTGGAGCTCTTTCTTTGTACCCGGACTGACAGTGTCGAACGTGGGGTTCCCCCAGTGCATCGTGGTAGACGACCGTCGCCCGGAGTAAGACAGAAGTAGAAAGATGAGCGACACAAATATGAGGTCGGGTTTGGGGTAAGGGTCATGGGACACATGCATGCGTGTTTATGTGGTGGGCGGTCATTCCAGGCGGAGGGGTCAACCGGACAGACTAAATGTTTACGTTTTACTCCAATTTTGGTTACAACCCTTAAAACGATCTCACCTCTGTCCGCAGGATTGGGCGATGAGCCCGCAGCATTTTTTCGTAGTCCTAGTCCACGATCTGTGTGCTCGTTGGTGGTCGTGCTTGGTTCTCGTACCTCTCAAAATGCGTGAAGGGTTTATGTTGTGAAGTTTATTCGGGTTCATTAGTAGGAGGGGTGCTGGGGGTGTGCATGTATGCATACTTCGCCAACGTACGGTATAGTCTAGATGTGTCTTCCGAGTAATTTCGGATATATACGCGGTTTTTGAAGGTACAGTAGCTTATCTCTGCATTGCGCCACTCTCAGGTGCAGCCGCCCCATCGCCGACCTCTTGCTAGGCCATGTGTTCATCATTTGCTTGTATGGCAGTCCACAACGCTGGGCCTTGACCTTTCGTGTTTGGTGTGGTCTAACATTTTTTTGGGCGAACGCCAATCAATGCTTTATCTCTGGCGACCTGAATGTGGCGAGACAGCGGTATCTCCAGCTGTGACTTGGAGGCACGGTTGTCGTTGTGGCTTAAATATACTACTGTTTCCCACTGGACTACATGCTTGCCCTTGGCATTGTCCTTCGTATCGTGGACAACAGTCCTCCATCACGAGAGAGATGAACCAAATAGGTGATTTTTCGGAGGATGGCTAAGCTATTGAAATGCAAGGTATCATGAGTAACTATCTCGGCGAGTTGACGGCGTGGCGATTTTGAAACGCAAGACTAGACTAAATGGTTGGCGTTTCTTTACCAATAAACTCAGGCAGTCTCTCAGGCGACGGCTCAAATGAAACGCATACTACGAGAATTTTGTTTTGTGCTAGGGAGTTGTTTTCTTTGTTTCCAACAAACAAATGTTTCGCGACAAAGAAGCTGATCCTTTCGAGAGCTCAAAACAGCCGTCTATCTACCGATGTCGCGCGCGTCACAGGTTAGCGCAGTCTTTGATATTGCGCAGAAACAAAGCAAGTCTACGCTTTTTACGAACGAAAGACGAGGATTTCAAACGGTTCTAACCATTGAATCAATGTGACATCACGTCCCCACAGCCGAAGATGTCTCCTAGAACGCGTCATTCCGCCGCACGTGTCGCCACTCCATGTGAATTGTGCCGCCTCTTCCATGCGTTTTCTTAAAAGCTACTACCAGTCTCGTCAACTCTTCTCGACAAGACGTTGCAAGCATAATAATGCAATCCTTTCCTCGAACCAAGCACCACATACTTGCTGGTGGCGCGGGGTATTCTCTCGCGCGCCACCTACCGCAACTATTATAGCAACAACGGAGCACCATGTACCCCTGTTGTTGCTGCTTGCTGTTGTTTTCGTTCGAGAACGAAGCAAAACGGTGTACCATAAGAGGTTCCCGTGTGCTGGTCAAGCACGGTAACATTGACACTATTCAACTGGCAAAACCACAAAACATAAAACACAAAAAAAAACGCCATTCTACATTTCATATTCTGTGACGATAGGAAACAGCTTTCCGAACAAATGTTTTCCCGCGCCAATAACCAACGATGCACCCAACTGCTAGCTCGTGCCGGAAACCTGCAACGGCGAACAATAGAAACACTCAAGACTATTGGGGAGGAGCAACTACTACGGGTGGGAGCAAGTGGCCACTCACTCACACACCTACAACAAATTGCCGTGACTATGAAAAGATAAAACGCACTCTGAGACGACCTACAAAACACAAGAGAATTCGGATCCACCCAAGGGCTATATTTGCCACACCTAGAGTAGTACTGTAGTAGATGGGCAATCAAAGACACACCCAGCAAGCCAATCACGATGCATGCAAACGGCACTGCATTCCCAAAATAGAATTGGTCTCGCTCCCGATCCTCTCGTTGAACTTGCCGCTTCTGTCTGCCTCTCGCCTGGCACGGTACCGCGGAGAACGCTAACGGATACACGCGACGAGCCTCCATTACAGCCTCTGCCCAAGGGACCGCGAACTCTTGAGCTGCCTCCGTTCGCCAGGGGTTCAAGAAGGTCGAGCGATGGCCCTCAACGCCCTCTCCCTCCGGCTCTGCAAGCACACCCACCCAGCTAGCGCCACTCCAAAGTCAGCGTAGCACGAGCCTTCATTCACCCGACGTGGTTGTCTGTGCTTGCAGCATCCCCCGAAATAATGATGTACGGAGAAAACAACAACGGCAGCCAGCCAGCAGCAGCAAAAGCCGCAGCTGCAGGCTACACGTTACTACGTGCCTCGAAGGATCCACGCCTGGACGCAGGCTGCGGACCATGGACACGACGAAAAACAAAACAAAAATGGCAGCCTCTTGCTCCGCACGGACTGCAAAACGTTTTGACAAAAAAGTTTCGTCCTTGCCGCCCACCGAACGGACCATCCAACAGACTCGCCAAAACAGCAGGCATCCTGAGAACCACAACCGTTCCATGTATCCCACCGTTCTATCCCGTACCTGGTACTTTACAAGACCCAACGGTAACCGCAAAAAAAGAGGCCACCCTATCAAGCAAAAATCCGTGCACATCCGCCCCAGCCGTAGCTCGAAGAAGCACACGGCTATGGCGGCCAAGACCCCCTCCCCCTCCCTTCTGCTTTCGATAAACATGATACTTTCCACAAAAACCAGCCATGTAGCCGCAATAATCCTCGTTTTCAGTGAACGGAAACAAAAAAACATACACATCTACTAACAAGGTAACAGCGCTAGTCACGCAGAGCCTCCGGCTCCGTTTGCGTCAGCATCCAAGTCCTGTTCTGTCGAGGCTTCGCCGCCATCCCCTCCCCCTGCAAACGCATCGGCACCAGCACCCTCAACTGCGCTGCCCTGCTGTTCGCAACCCTCAACGGCGGCTGCGCCAGCGTCATCAGCGCCAGCGGCCGCGGCTGCGGCGGCAGCAGCAGATGCGCCAGCCTGGCTGGTCCCCGCCCCCGGACGGTGGCTGTCAAACACTGACACTGACACTGACGCCGAGTGTCCGTTTTCCTGAGGAGTGGGATAGCAGGAGCGAGCGAGCGAGAGAGAGAGCGGGATGGAGGGAGGGACAGAGGGAGAGAGAGAGAGAGCGAGAGACAGAGGTAGAAAGGGAGGGAGTCAGGTGGTGCCGTGTCAAGAGGTCGAAAAGCAAACTTGCGTTGGTGATCGGGGCGCCCGCCCGCACCCTGAGAGAGGCAGCCGCGATGGTCTCGAGGTATCAAATGAGTCCGAACGTTTGCTGCTTGCTCAATCGTGCTCCGCTTGTGCCGTCCACAGTTTGCAACGACAACGATAACTCCCGCGGGCGTCGGCACGACCGTTCTCAAGTACCAGGGTGGAAGGGAGGGGCCTATTCTCCCATGCACCCGGTTCCGTTTTCGGCAGGGACACTGTTGGGCGGGCAGCGCTGCTGTCATACTTAAACACGCCCACGACGGCATTCGAAGATCGACCAACCATGTACATACCTGGGGGGGAGGTGATGCAGTCTTATCTCCATTGGATCCCGATCCAGGTGACACGGGTGCGCTGCTACCACTGCCGGAAGCTTCGGCATTGGCGGCTGCGGTGGCAGCGGCGGCGTTGGCGGTTGCGGCGGTTGTCTCCGTTGCTGCAGCGGCTGCCTCGTGCTGAAGCTGCATTTGTCTCTGGTGAAGGTGGTGCTGATGGTAGGTCAGCTGGTGGCTCTGCACCTCGTGGGGCTGGTTGAGGTCGATGTGCTGCTGGTGCTGCGGGTGGTTCGGGTCGTGGTAAGGGTGGGGGTGGTGGATCCCCATCCCCGCCTGGGCGGCCGCCTGAGCCTGAGCCTGAGCCTGAGCCTGCACAGCTTGGTCGTGGCTGTGCTGGTGCATCGACTGCGCCGCGAGCTGCATCGCCGCCATCCCGCTCATCCCAAACGACGACGACGCCAGCGTCGGGTCGCCGCCCCCGGCCGCGAGACTCGGATAGCTACCCATCCCGGGCACCCCGTAACCCGGCATGCCCGGGTACCCGTGCGCCTGGAACGGGTACGGCATTCCCATCATGCCGGGGTAGCCGCCGTACATGGCGTGGAGACCGTACCCGTGCATCGGAGAGCCCGGGGGCGGGGCGGCGCCGTGAGCCCCGGCCGCCGCCGCCGCCGCTGCCGCCGCCGCCGCTGCCGCTCCCGCCCCGCCCCCGGCAGCCGCCGCTGCCGCTCCGCCCTGCTGTTGCTGCTGCTGCTGCTGCTGCTGATGATGATGATGATGATGATGCTGCTGCTGGTGATGTTGGTGGTGTGCCATGGCCTGCTGCTGCGCTTGTGCGGCCGCCGCCATGTGCACGTACGGGCTGTACCCCATGCCCATCCCCGCCATCGACATGTGCGGCGGCATGCCGTACGGGCTCTGCGCCGCCACGGCTGCCGCAGCGGCGGAAGCAGCTGCAGACGCGGCTGCGGCCGCCTCCTCCATGGCCTGAATATCCGGCCCGTATGCCCCGTCCCCTCCGGCACTGGCCTCTCCAACCCCCGCCGGCCCCGCCTCCTCTTGCGGAACGCCCGGCGCCTCGGCTAGCGGGCTGGTGGGATTCCCTAGGTCCCCGAATTCTGTGGCGGCGGCTGCAGCGGCGGCAGCGGCGGCAGCGGTGGTTCCTGCCCCGCCTGCGGTACTCGCACCGCCGCCCGTTCGGAGAAGCGTCTCTGCGTCCAGTTCCTCGGGCCGCATCTGCAGGATGGATTTTCGCACCTTGGCGGATGCTCCTGTCGTAGCCGCCTGCGCAAGTCAAGGGCAAAAGGGAAGGGCAAGGGAAAGGGAGGCTAAACCATACCGTAGTCATAGAGCAGCAATGGTATTACGTGCCTCTTCATGGCGATCGATGAGATCGGTCGAACAACTGACAAGAGCCAGCAAGTGATGCAGTAGTGCATGAAGAACAGAGCATGCGTGCTTCGGGAGGGGATGCGTACCACCTCGTAGTACGTCCACAGCAGCAGCAGAAGCGGTGTCTTGCACGTTTTCTCTCATTTCTCCAAGAACATAAAGGGGACGCCGTTTCCTACAGTGGTCACGTGAATCTCGCGGGGGTAGTCTTTTTCGAACACAAGGCATACATATGCATACACGACGCCATGTTTTACTCGTGGGTGGCGCAACACACCCCGGCAGCAACAACAAAAAACGCAACAAACGACAGGACAGACGATCACCATTTGAAACACCCTTGGTTGGACTAACACAGGTATGTAGCTCATGCTAAGAAGCACTACAGCAGGGAACCTTGACGTTACCTGGCAGATGAGCTGCTTCTTGTAGTGAAGGGAGACGAGCTGCTCTTGTAGCCGCTGTCTGTCGACCCCCTGCGCCGTGCGGGCGAGGAGCTCGACGTACTTGATCGACTTGTTCACGCTCCGAATCTTCAACACAAAAAATCGTTAGGTATGTATGCAAGGGGGAAGCGGGGTGGATAGCAAGGGAGGCATCGGTACGAGGGAGAGAGCGTTAGCGCACTTGATCGTTACGATACGGAAGTACCATGGCAATTGAGAAGATCGAGGTTGACATACAGCATCACGACAAGACACGGTGTTGAGAGCACATGTGACTGATGTATGTGACACCCTCCTCTGTTCACCTGCCGCCTGCCGCCTACAACAAGTACTGTTTTGGTTCAGCGGCCGGATGTACTACGATGATAAAAACGCGTCTACAAGAGACACAAGCCGGCCGTGGGGGTCATCTTGGTGCAACACATGATGCAATACGCGAACGATTTTCGAAGGCGTTTCGAGGCGACACGCCTCCACCACCCTGTCATTAATAAACATTGTTTTGATTGTTGCGTAGGCATTCAACACCGTTTCGGCCTCTGCCGAGAACCTTCAAATATTCATATTCATACCGGTCCAACCAACACAGACGCCTCCGTAGCGGCAGGCGAACGACCACATGCCCCCAAAGGATACATACAATGTTGGTTGGAAATAATGACAACAATAGATGCTCATGAGTTCTTCCACAAGAAACCATCACGCATGTATGCTGGCCGCCCCGGGCGTCATCTATTTACCGTCGGTCGCAGAAGATATCGCACCCCCTAGGTCGATTTTCACAGCCTGATTACTCGGCAGGGCAAGCAACGACGGTGCCGAACATGGAGTTGGAATCATCCCGTCAAGAGTATCTCATGCAACCAATGGTATGACCGCCGGACGGGGGCTATACCATGAAGAGATACTGCTGTAACTGAGAATGAAGGCATGCGCCGCTGAGGAATCTCCAATGCTCCAAGCAGGATCCAAGGATTTGACCTTCAGCTATTTAAAATAGGCATACATATTTGGAACTGGAATCGACAACGATATGTAATGAGGGTCACGAAAAGAAACAGAAAGAAGCGATGTACATACCGTACACCAAAGATGGTGCGGAATAATAACTCCACCCATCCGGGACGTGAACCAAAAAAAAGGGAGAGGAGATGAGATATTATTATTGTTCCAACCTCACACGATAACTCGCCCCAATATGATACCGCACTTCTTGAGGTGCTCATGGTGCGTGTCTTGTATGTTGTGTCTCAGCTGGCCCTACAGAGCAGTACAACACCGGAAGAGTGTGTATGTGTGCCACGGACCGACACCCACGTATGTGCCGGGTTTTGAGACCACGGGCTCCCCATTTTTTGTGGACTACAGAGCTAATGTGAGAAACAACAACAACAACAACAACCCACGCGCGCACGTGGTTTGTTCGGTGTGAATTTGAACGCTTTGGGTGTGTACCTCTCCAAGAGCGGCCACGCGTGCGCGGGGAAACAGCAGCCAGTCTCCCACTAATTATTTCGCTTGAAAAATAAGGCGAAGGGTTTGTGTGTCTCACGTCTGTATGTATCTGTGTAGATAGAAGACAGCGAGCGCAGTTCCTGTGAGACGAATGTTGTAGACTACAGCAGCAACAAAATATAAATATCCACCGACCTTGTAACACTTGAAGCTTTTTGGACACACAGGCCAGCCGTGAAAGGCTTCATGCCCACAGGATAGCCGACAATTTAGGGCCCGTTAGGTTGGGCACACAACGGCCCATGAAATAATGCGTCTCTTTCCCATGGGGTGTTCACAGTTGACAGCGCGAAAGCCTTCGCGAGGAGGAAAAAAGACGGGGGCGTGGTTCAATCAAAGCGAGACGGCCTACATACAACATCGAACGCGCGCGCGGTTTAGTGTTGGCGCCTTACTTTTCTAAGGTGTGCGGCCGGGGAAACGTGTCTTGCCTCCAACCCTGAGATCTTCTGCAGCAGCAAACAGTATCCGGGTCGGCTGCTGCTGTACATGTGTCGACACCAATGTAGCAGCGATCGTACCCACTTCCCACCAAGCCAGACCTCCTCTCTTCCCCAAAACGAGAGTAGGAGGGGTAACCAACACACCTGGCGGTAGGGCCATCGCTTGATGCCGTACTTGCGGCACAGCCTCTTGATAATCGTCGTGGACACGCCCATCATCTTGCTGACATCCTCGATCGGGTACTCGAAGTAGCGCTCCAGGTCCCGCAGGGTAACCCGCTTGCTGAAGCCCCGCTTCGCCCTCTTGTCTTCCAGCCCCGGGATATCATCATCATCGTCTTCATCGTCCTCTGTCCCATACAGCGACGGAGGCGCCGCCGCAGCGCGGTGGACCGCTTCTACGGCCGCCGCCGCCGCCTTGATGGCCGCTTGGTCGGCGTCATGCTGCTGCTGCGGCGTGAGCTCGAGGTCGTACGGGTGAGCGTGCTGCTGCTGCTGCTGCTGCTGCTGCTGCTGATCGGTGGCAGACGGCTCAACGCTCTCAGCTGCCGCCGGCGGTAAAGCGGTGGGCGTGGAGATCGGAGATGACCCGGACATGATGACAAAATAGCTCGTGCGTAAAAAAGTATCCGCCAACGGGATTTCCAACCACGCGCCTGTGCCCCCACACGGTTCGCGCCGTCCCTGTGTGTCTCTCTGCGACGAGATTAGCGAATGCGCGCGCGGTTTTTCTCTCGTTCCCCCTCGGTGCTACGAGTGTGCCTCCTCGGTGTCTCTTGTCAACCGGTACGTGTCGTCTGCCGCCACTGACTGAAAAAAAAAAATATTGGGGGGGGGACACGCACGAAGTATTTGTTTGAACCAAGGGGGGCGTGGGTGCTTCCCCTTCGAGCCGTTGTTGGTCTTCGCCGCGAGTGCCCGCCTGGTGTCTCTCCTCTGCGTGGCTAGCTACTCATTGCTTTTAGTCTCTTTTTCGGGCTTCGTGCGTTGCCCTAGGCCGTGTGTGTGTACTTTGTGTGGGTGTGCTTGATTGCTGTCTGTTGTTCGTCTCCAAGTCAACGGCTCTGGCGACAGGGGAGAGGCGAAGCGAAGTACCCACCCTCCTTACTTGACTTAATAATAAATCAGGGAATCAGGCAGAGATGTCGGACGAGGATGCTATCTTTGCAGAGTTCATGGGGGAGATCAAGAGCACGGTCGTGGCAGCGGAGACAAAAACAGCATCTGATGCTGGGGAGGATGATGGTGCTGCTTCTGATGCGGCTTCGGTCGGGGACGTCCAAGCAGACGGCACCGAGGGAGGAGGAGAAGCGAGGAACCACGCCGATACCACCAAGCGAAGAGAGACCGAGGTATGATGATAGCTTGCACCGCCAGATTCAGCACCAGCAGCATCAGAGCAGCGGGTGATAGCAGATGATTAAGAATGATTATAGTGCTCCGTCACAGCACATGGACGACCTACGTAGCCATTTGCATCCAGATTCCGCTCCGACAGCGCGTGTGATCATGTGTAGTCTATGTAGTATGCCTGGTGTCCCCGTGATGCCATGGTCCTTCCCGTGAACATTTTTCAGGTACAGCAGTACTGGTGCATAACCAAACCTCGGGACGGATGCGCGGGAATCCAAGGTGTGCGCAGTCAACACACCACACATGACACCCGGCGGTGCTCACTTCGTGTTTCATGCGTTAATTTTTCGGTTCCGTGTACAATATCAACTTCGCCGGTGGGAAGAGTAGTAAATCCTCCCGCCTATCCAGGCAACTGCTCTGTAGTTGGAGCGACACGCCTGCTGTCTGTGCGTCCCTCTCTTCGAAAAGTGGAGGTTCCTCCGTACGGGTACAGCCAGTACCACACAAGACAACAAGCGGCTGGAGGGGCCTTTACGCAACATGCTAGATAAAGACTGAAACATTTTCGAATTTTGGCTTGTTTTTCATGTGGTTGCTGTGTTATCTTTACCAGAGGTGACGACAAGTAATGTTTGGCTTGTTTTTTATGTGGTTGCTGTGTTATCTTTACTAGAGGTGACAAGTACAGCGCGCAATCAACCATGAACCTCTTGTTTGCAAGACCAGACCACTCTAGCGTAAGCTGTTTGAGCCCCCCCCTCCCAGCAGCGAAAATCATCCTAGGATGCTCCAAGCGCACAAGTAATGCAGCCGTCAGGGCAGAATTGGGGATCCAATCCCTACGGTCGGGAAGAGACGCGCGGAAGCTGACATGGCAGTACCTCATGTGCGGGATGGGAGAGGGGAGGTTGCCGAGAATTGTATGGGAGGCCAAGTAGGGAAACAAAAAGAGGGGCAGACAATCCACGGAGTGGGTCAAGGTTGTAGAGGACGAAAGGAAGGGGCTCGACATCGACGAAGATGAAACACTGGAAACGGAGAGTCTACAGGGGTTCAAGGAGAAGATATCTGTTGCTTGTGCCGAGAGAGAACATAATCTAAGGAAAGAAACCAAGGATAAGGAAGGTTTAGAAATGTACGGAATGTTGAAGGAAGGAACAGGGTTCAAGGATATCCTATATGGACCAATGGATGCAGGAACAAAGCTTAAGGTCAAATTCAGGACCGGGGACATAGGCCTTCGAGAACGTCGACGAAGACATAGGACGGTAGACGAGGAAGACGACGAGTTCAAATGTGATTGCGGCTTCGAATGCGAAGACCGTGTTCATGTAGTCGCGGAATGTCCGTTGTACAAGAAGGAGAGGGAAGTGTACGTGACTGAGCTGGGAAAAATAGATGGAACGTACAGGGAGATGTTTGAGGCATGGAATAGAGAGGAAAGGACGGTGGCTGTACTGGGGCATAGGAGGTGGGTTGAACAGGCGGGAAGGGGCATCGTTAGGATAGACAGACTAGGGAAGACATTTTTGAGCCATCTTTGGCAAAGTAGAACGGAACGATTGGCCATCGGTGATCGGTCCTGTGGGAACAATGCTCCGTCCTCTCGAGGACGCGTGGTCAATGGTGTAACCGCTAAGGCATGCAAAGCATAAGAGTACGCGCCCCCTCGCCTATACCTCTTTTACCGAAATGCGCTCCTAACCGCAACGGTAGTTTCAACAGCAACTCGTTGATTGGCAAGCGATACATGGAGCAATATTGGTCGGGGGCCCCGGGCAGCCGGCCCACAGCTGTCGAAACCTTCTCAACGCAAGAGCTACTGTACTCTGCGCTCTGTTCGCGTGTAGTCGTTCGCCACGCGTAATAATCCATCACCACCACGCGGTGCTATGGTTTCGCTAGTAGTTCATCCCCCGACCTCCCCCACCTCCCTGCTTCCCGACCCTGCTGCTGCTATACAATATTCGGCTGCTACAGCCACAGACGACGCACCGTTCCGCCCTGGCTATTCACCCTTTCGTTCTTTCTCTGTTCCCCCCTTTGGCTCTCCCTTGCCGCGGCGAACAGGCGTCCCCTTCCCCCGCCCCCAAAAAGCCTAGATTCATGGGAAAGCTTGTCGCGGCCGCCCCCCCCGTGAAGGCCGGGGCGGTGGCTGCAGCGTCAACAGCTAGGGCCACGGGTTCCGGGCCGAAAGCGAGTACCGGCGACAAAGGCACAGCAGCAGCGAAGAAGGACCCTGACGGGAGCGGCGCTAGTGCTGGGACGGGCGGCGTGGCGAACGGTGGCAATAAGGTACGCTTTCTTGTTGGTTGGATCGTGTCTCAACCATTCAAAGTACGGGAAGGAAGTACTATATACGTATGTTGCACTCAATAAGAGGAGAAGAGGTCACTCAGTATAAAAGAGAGAACGTGAGTCTTCGCACTGTTAGTCGTAATATTTAGTGGGAATTCGGAGTCCTCGGTACCCACTTGGAGAGAGCGCAAGCTTGGAAAATGCTCGGTTGGCGTGCTTGTCCGTGTGATGTGACTTCTGGGCCCAACCTACTGTAAAGCGACACCGACACCCTAGCCCACACACGCAGCAAGTAGCCAATGAACCTCAAGCTTGCAGAGGGCCAGAGGGTGTTTACAGCGGTCAAGTGAAACGGGAGGTGTGATCGATCGATTCATCGATCGCTGACCGTGCTACCAGGCTTCGCGGCTGAAGCGTCTGCCTGGTTTGGAAAACCATGGTGCTACGGGCCGGAACGTACGGGCATTTCGTTTCTCTTTTTTGACCTGCTAAAACGTCAAGAGACTACTGCTGTAGGGTCCTCTTGGAGGAATGCAACTGCTCCTGTCGTATGGCTCGGGTATCGTGGCGGTGTTGAAGAAAACCTGGTACTCCCTTTGTTGAAATTCAAGCCGTTCACTTCCTGGCACTACATGTATTTTTCTCTGGTTGTTGTTCCTGGACTTGATACCAACTCCGACAAGTCCCGACCGTGTTTGGTCAAGCAGTCAACCTCCCTTTGCCGAGTTGCATAATACTGAGTGCCGTGCGTGTGAAGGTATGTTGTTCGGAGCTTCCCCACATACATACCTGGTTCCTTATTGATCCCGCGATGACCCCCACTCCCTTCTCTACCCTCCCCCCGTCTCGTGGCGTTTGCTCTGCTTCCCTGACACCAAACCGTATCGACTGCGTACCCCCCCCCCCCCCCCCCTATATCACATGTTATAACCGTAAGAAGACCACGAACGGGAAAAAAACAACAACGCCGCCACTGCCAGACGCTTCGGGTAAGGGGGGCAAGGGCAAGGAGGGTGTAAAAGGCGGGAGCGGAGCGGTGGGAGGAGGGGCGGGTGGGGCAAGCGAAAGGACCCCAGCAGACGGGGGAGACGCGAATGGTGCCGGTTCGAAAGACGACGAAGAAATGGTCGGTTTCGGGGGGTCGGGAGGGGTGGCCAAACACGAAGCTGGCATGGACATGCACAACAACCCATCCCCGATGGGCGGAGGGGGCCCTGGCACGATGCCGGGCAACAACAACGGGATGCATATGGGGGCCCCGCCGCCAGGGATTAGGGGTAACATGGGCGTGATGGGGGCTGGAAATGGAATGGCTGGTTTCGGGGGTGATGGGTATGGCATGCCACCACCTGGAATGGGGATGAACATGGGAATGCCGCCGGGAATGAATATGGGGATGCCTCCCGGGATGAACATGGGAATTCCTCCTGGAATGGGAGGGCCAGGTGAGCTATCTTCCAGTTAGTGGATTAGGTGACCAGGTACATGTTGAGATTTTCTGGGATAGGGGTGGCCAATCCACCGCAGGCTTATGTGTGGCTATGGAGCGGGCATGTTACCGCATATAACGTGCGAGACCCTCGTCGATCGCTTACGTCATCACACGAGAGGCCCTGTATTCCGTATTTGGACCATCCCTGTGTTACGCCCCCCTCGCTCAGTCCAAGCCCACCTCCTCTATTGTCTGTCCGGTAACACACGTGGGATGTCCTCGAAGTTCGACCCTGATGAGGCCTGCTTCTTCTTCCCCCTCGGCTTGAAACCTGTCAAGCTTGCAGCTGTCGGTATCTTTCTATCCTTCGGGTTTCCGCTGCAAGAAGTGCTTTTTCTAGAGCCTGTCAACAGGCTCGCCTATTCCTTTATCTTCTTGCCTGTGAGGTGTGAACGGAGAAGTGTGAGAAGATCACACCCGCCACCGGGACCATGCCGAAACAATTCTGTATCTCGCTCTCAAGCCCTATCCCCCCCTCCAGAACATCCATCAGCTGCCGCCCCCGCCCCCGCCCCCTCCCCCTAGCAACCCCTAGCTTCCTCCCCTCACCCATACCCTCTTCTGTCGCCCTCCTGTACCCTTCTTTCGTAAGCGTCATGCCGTGACCCTCCGGTCGTCACGAAGGCCGCGGGCGTTTCCATCACA